GGGGAGGTTAAGAATAGTATAGGAAATGTAGAAACCAAAGAACTTATATGTATGATCCATGGACATGAACTAAAGGGGGAGAATGCAGGTTGGAGAGGGTGAGCAGTGCAGAGGGGAATAAAGGGGGGATGGGACAACTGTAATAGCATAATCAATAAAATATATTAAAAAACGAAAACAATCAAATTAAAGAAGTAAATGGTCAGAAGACCTGAATAGACACTTTTTAAAAGAGGACATACAGATGGCAAATAGACATATAAAAAGATGCTGAACATCACTAATCATAAGAGAAATGCAAATTGAAACCACAATGAGATATCACTGCACACCTGCCAGAATTCTATCATCAATAAATAAACACGTCGCCCTGGCTGGCGTAGCTCAGTGGATTGAGCGTGGGCTGTGAACCAAAGCATTGCAGGTTCGATTCCCAGTCAGGGCACATGCCTGGGTTGCAGGCCATGGCCCCCAGCAACCGCACATGGATGTTTCTCTCTCTCTCTCTTTCTCCCTCCCTTCCATCTCTATAAAATAAGTAAACGAAATCTTTTTAAAAAATAAATAAATAAACACAAAATGCTGGGGTGGATGAAGAGAAAAGGGAACCCTAGGACATTATTAGAGGGAATACTGATTGGTGCAGCCACTGTGGAAATCAGCATGAAGTTTCCTTCAAAAATGAAAAATGTACTTCTTTCTCAAAATTGCTGTGGATATTCAGTGCCATTCATGGTGCAATATAAATTTTTGAAATGTTCTATGCCTGTGAAATATGTCATTGGTAACTTAATAGGGATTGAATTGAATCTATAAATTGCTTTGGGTAGTATGGACAATTTGATGATGTTTATTCTTACAACCCATGAACACAGTATATGTTTCCACTTATTTGTGTTTTTCTTAATTTCTTGAATGTTCTATAGTTTTCTGAGTACAAGTCTTTTACCTACTTGGTTAGGTTTTTCCCTAAGTACTTTACTTTTCATGTTGCTATAGCAAATGGGGACATCAAACTATATTAAAAGGCCATTGTAATCAAGATAGTCTGTTACTGGCATAAGAACAGATATATAGGTCAATGGAACAGAAGAGAGAGCCCAGAAAACAACTCAAGTCTCTATTTTCAATTAATATTTGACAAAGGTGGAAGAAGCAAAAAATGGTATAAAAGTAGTCTCTTCAACAAATGGCATTGGGAGGTCTAGACAGCTACATGCAAAAACATGAAACTTGACCACCAACTTATACCACACACAAAAATAAACTCAAGATGGATAAAAGACAAATATAAATCACAACACCATAAAAGTCCTAGAGGAGAACACAGGCAGAGAAATCTCAGATATTCCACACAGCAATAGTTTCACCAATGTGTTCCCCAGAGCAAGGGACACAAAGGGAATAATAAACAAATGGGACTTCATCAAAATAAAAAGCTTGTGCACAGCTAAAGAAAACATGAGGAAAATGTAAAGAGAACCAACCATATGGGAAAATATAGTTATATATGATACCTTGGACAAGAGTATAATGTCCAAAATATATAAAGTACTTACACAACTCCACATCAGGAAGACAAACAATCCAGTTATAAAATGATCAAAGGACTGAACAGACACTTCTCCAAGGAGGACACACAGAGGGCCCAGAGACACATGAAAAGATGCTCAGCACCACTAGCCATCAGAGAGATGTAAATTAAAACCACAATGAGATACCACTTCACACCAGTCAGAATGGCCATCATAAACAAATCAAGGAAAATATAACCTAAGATACTGATATAGAGAATAGGCTGGCAGTGACCAGAGGAGGAGAGGGGAGGGAATGTCAAGGGAATTTCAGGGGAAAAGGGGAAGGGTATATAGGAACAAGTATAAAGGACACATGGACAAAAACTGGGGTGGGGGGTGGAAATGGGAGGGAGGTGGGGAGGGATGGGTGGGTGGGCTGGGATGGGAGTAAAAGACAGGAAACTGTACTTGAACAATGATTAAAATAAAGTTTAAAAAATCAAAAATAAGTGCTGGCAAGGTTATGGAGAAAAGGGGACCCTAGTGCGTTGTTGCTGGGAATGCAGACTGGTGTAGCCACTGTGGAAAGCAGTATGGGATTTCCTTAAAAAACTAAAAATGGAACTGCTTGGACTGGCAATTCCACTGCTGGGATTATACCCTAAAAATCCTGAGATGCTAATTCAAAAGAACCTTTGCAACCTAATGTTCAAAGCAGCACAATTTAAAATTGCCAAATGCTGGAAGCAACTTAAGTGTCCATCAGTATATGAGTGGATGAAAAAAACTATGGTTTTAGTTTTCTGTATAAAACTACATTTACACCATGGAATACTACACAGCAGAAAGAGACAAGAAACTCCTACTCTTTGTGACAGCATGGATGGAACTGGAGAGCATTGTGCTAAGTAAAATAAGCCAGGTTGTGAAAGACAAATACCATATGATCCTGACCTATAAGTGTAACCTAATCCACAAAACAAACTAACAAGCAAAACATAATCAGACAATGAAATAGAGAGCAAATTGACAGTAACCAGAAGGAGGGAGGAGGGGGATAATGGGTGAAAGAAGTGGAATGGTCACGAGGAAACATCTATAAAGGACACAATGCGAAAGGGGGGCAGGATAGAAAGTGGGACGTGAGATTGGTTGGGGTGGGAGAGAATAGTGGGGAGCAAATGGAGACAACTGTACTTGAACAATAGTTAAAAAAGTTAAACAAAAAAAAGAAAAGAAAAATGTAAATGTTTTATAACCCAGAGATTCTACTTCTGGGTATATGTCCAAAGAAACCCAAAACACTAATTCAAAAAAATATGTGCTCCCCTATGTTTATTGCAGCATTATTTACAAACAGCCAAAATTTGGATTAACCCCAGTGCCCATCAAAAATGAATGAATAAAAATTTGGTGGTACATATATATAATGGAATATTACTCAGCCATAAAAGAGAATGAATTCTTACCATTTCCAATAGCATGGGTGGACCTACAGGGTATTATGCTAAGTGAAATAAGCCAGAAAAAGTCAAATAACACATGATTTCACTTATATGTGGGATCCAAACAATAATATAAATGAACAAACAGAACGGAAACATTTTCACAGATACAGAATAGAAATTGATGGCTGTCAGAGGGGAGGGTGATATGGAAACTTGGTGAAAAAAAATGAAAGGATTATAAAGTACAGATGGTTAGTTACACAATAGTCACAGGGATATAAAGTACAGCATAAGAAACATAGTATGTATGTATGTGTGGTGCCAGGTGGGTACTAAGTATATTAAGGGAACACTCTGCAAAGTATATTAACGTCTAACGAGTATGCTGTACACCTGAAACTAATACAAAATGATATTTAAAAAAAGAAACATCAAAATGACCCACCTAAAATTAGAACATACAATAACAATTTTTAAATGTTCAAATTAAATACTATTAAAATATTAGCATTAAACATGTTGAATGAAGATTAAGCAAAATTTAGAAAAAAATTATAGTCTTCAGTGTTTGTATTAGAAAGGGAAAATAAAACACTAACACAATAATAGCAAGGATTGAATACATATAAAATTTGGCTTCTTGAGAAAACAGATATAAGATTTACAAATATTCACCAAATTTGATCATGGAAAATAGAGAAAAATACTTATAAATAATATTAGGGAAAATAAAAATATAACAAATGCAAATATTAACACCTAAAACCTTACCTAATACCCAAAAATAGTGTTTAAAATTGAAAATTTAGGTGAGATTGGTTTTTAGAATTGTATAAGTTACCAAAATTTATTTTTTAAAAAATGTAAAACTTAACCCTGAAACCATAATAAAATAAGTTTTTTAAAACTGTTTTTAGTAAGAAGGGGAAGGGTTATCAAGGAACATGTATAAAGGATCCATGGACAAAGCCAAAGAGGGGTGTATGAGTGAGGGTGGGTGGTGGGGTGGGTGGGGCATGGGAGAGTGGTGGGGGGAAAATGGAGACAACTGTACTTGAACAACAATAAAATACAAAAATAAATAAAACCTTTTTTAAAATAACATTTATTTTTTAAAAGTTAATGTACATATAATAGGAAACTGAAAATCACAAGAAGCAAAGAACAAAGTCATCCACAACCACAAGCAGGGTTCAGTTTAATAAGCAACATGTACCTGGACACATTCATAGTATAGCCAGTGCAAGATTATAATAAAATAGACAGTATAAAACTTGGAATGGAAGAAACAATACTGTCACTATTAACACAATAAAGTAGTCTGAAAAAGACAGGTGTTGGTAAGGACAGGGAAAAAAGGAACTTCTCACATTTTTGCCTGTAGACATATGAACCCTCACATAACAGAAATCAGTTTGCACTGAGTAAGTACATCTGAGCATGAACCTGTTGTACAAGCAAGCAACACCACTTCCAGAGCAGTATTCGCTTGAAATCTTTATATGGGCATCTTGAGACATGTGCACAAATATAATGTTGCTCAAACTGCTTAATACATCAATAATTCTCTTTTTGAGCTTGTGATAATTTTAAAATATTATTTAAAAATTCTCTCTTAAGAGAACATTGTCAAATGTAGACTTCTGTGCAGAATTTTTACCCTGAATGATGTTTAAGAAAAAATTAAATTGGCAACATTACATAATGTAAATGTCACAAAACTAGACACTAATATTCTTGACTCTCCTTCAGGTTTTATTATTAACTAGCACTATAAACTTGTAAAGCTATAATAATAAATTAACACTAGCATGATTAACTAATAATCATGCATTAATCTATAAAATCTTTTTAATTAAATGAGGAAATAATACTAGTGTTATTTAATATGCTCTTAAAACACTAGATAAAAAATATAAAAAGGAAAAGAAAGCCTCACATATAATGACAACCTTTACAAGGCAGTGGTTTGTGTAAACATTCTCCCCAGGGCCCAGGCTGACAGTACTTGGTTCATTCCAATGCCTGTGCTTACCAGCTGCTGTCCCTGGACCCCCCAGGCCGCATACTGCAAGACAGAGTCCTCTACTTCTGGAGGGTTCAACTCCCAAACTTCCCTTGAAAAAAGGTAAACATTTTACATGAAAAAAAATGACATCTACAACAATAATTTAGTTGGACTATTTCTCATGAAAACCAGAAAATCAAAGATCTTACCTAGTGTGTATGTTGTAAATCACATATGAAGCAGTATATGAATAACGAAACACCTGAAATAATAAAAAAGAGTTATTGACCATTTAAAATAAAGACTCTATCTTAATATGTATATATGTTCTTATTAAATCCCAGCAAATCCAATAATTGGTTTTAAAAGAAATCAAAATGTGAAATACCCCAGTTCTTTAGTTTATTACCTTCTCTGAGCCTTCCTGCAATAGCCTTCTAATTTTTTCCCAACCAGCAGTCATGTCCCTTACTAAATCCACTCTGCATTTAGTAAAATTGTGATTATAATTCATCTTGTTTAAAATATTTAGTGATTCCTCATTACCCATAAAATAAAGTTCACACCGTTTAATCAATGCTCAAGGATTTTGGTATTTGTAGTCTACCTATTTCTCCACCTTTATCATCCTTTACTTTACCTAGTCTATTCCTCAATCACATTAGACAAAATTTCTTCATATATTCTTAACTGCTCCCCCACCCCTTTTTAAAGGTCTTCCCACCCCAACTCAGGTGGATATATTCCTCCTTCTATTCTATCTTTCTCACAGTTTATTCTGACTCTCAGGACATTCTCACTCTGCAGCATAAAGTGTATAACTATTTTAATTATATGTCTCCTTTTCTTACTATAATGCTGTCAGGTGCAGTTGTGGGCTGCATGTGCATCCTCCACATTACCTAATACAGTGCCATGTTTGCATGCAACATGCAATAGATATTTGTTGAGTAATGATTCTCATAGACAAAAACTCACTTAACTTGAAGTGTTTTTTGGTTGAAACAAAATGGGATAAACTGCTCCCCAAATCCTTCATAGCCAGAGTTGAAAATCATATGTCAAATAGTTGGTTACAAGTATGTGATCTTCAAAAGATTTTAATACCATCTTATAAAGAACTCTGTTTCTTTTTAAAGCCCATCTTCCCCAGGATTACAGGCCCCATGATGGGTGATATTAAATCCCACAGACATGACCATAGTGGATAATGCAAAGCTATCTCTACATTTTGGTTCTTAGTAATTAGAATTGCAATAGTGGAATAGAGTAAATGTCCTTGAAAAACTGCAACAGATTGGTTAGCAAAAGAGATGATAAATACGTTATATTTCAGTGAAAATTATTTTTCTCTAAGCTATGTGGTCTAGTGAAGAACATTTCTATCTAGCCATATTAATTTGTATTATTATTTTTAGGATTTACAGAACTTATATTTCTATTTTCAGCATGTGATTATAAAAAGCTTATTTTATTCCTGTAGTAGATGTACACTGCACAAATATAATGCTGCCAATTAAAACTCCCTAGAAGTCAAATTGTTATTTCTTCTTAGTGCAGTAATAGCTTCAATTAAACATAGTTGGCCACATAGCTAGTAAAGCACTAGTGTTTTCTCTGCAGTGCAATGACAATCCTCCCCTTATTTGTTATAGTATTGTATTTTACAAGGAAGCTTTATTCCTTTTGAAATAACTATTACATTTGAGATTGCCTTCACTATAGAGTTGCAGAAGTAAAAATAATTTTTCCTGGTGTCTATTCAGACATTCACATTGTATTCTATACAATTCCATATTGAATACAAATTTTGAACCTTCAATTTGCCACTGTAGCTGACAGAGGTGAAAAATGTGACCACCTCTATAAACTTAAAAGTCCTGTTGCTAAAGCAAACTGCTAGGTGAACACTTGGAATTCAAAGCCAACAAATGTGTAAATGAAATTATGGGTAAAAGGAGACTACTCATTCCACCTGTTAATTACCTAACACACTGTACCTGAATTCTAGGCTCACATCCACCTTGAGAGAAAAAAATGTTACTGTGCTTTACTTTAGTCAAGCTGGCCAAAACAGCTAGTGAGACCAAACTGGATATAGCCATTAAATTTGGCGTCTTTCTGTGTTTGTTACACAGCCTCTTCTCAACATATAAATCCAAAGAACTTAGATGTCCTCTAAATGATTTGAGTGATTTGGAGAGGGGGATATATAAATCCACTTTCTGTTTTGTTATTCTTAGCCTGATACAGCATTTGCTTCTCTCAGCTGGTGTGCTCAGGTAGAAGACCACAATAAGGTGGCTTGCTTGCAAACCCATAGCAGGTTTAAGTAACAATTTGCAGAGTTTTGGCCTCATCTGTAGATGTCATACAAAGCCAGCAGTTTCCCATTTGCAGGTAGTTAGAACCTAGCCTTTATTTCTAGCACAGAGCTCTTTCCTGTAAGTCCACTGTCTTTGGTGTGTATGAGTGTGAGTACACTCCAAGCATGTTTCAAACAGTTCTTGTTTTGTAACTTTTCCATAATTAAAATAACATTCTATGCACACAAAAGAATCAAACGAGTATGGGGTAGGAGGAATCTTGAACAGGGTTAGAGATAGAGGTTTCTTTTTGTTTGTTTACTTAGTGTTGCAGTCATTTTAAAAGAGTTTTCAGTGAGAACTGAATTTAGCTTTACTAAACATCAGTATTAAGATACACTGGTCTAAATGTTAATTTGCATCTCTCACTCTCTTTCTTCTCCTCCTCCTCCTTCTTCTTTGGATAGCATTTCTCCCCCCCTCCCCCCATATTCCTCATTCCCTCTTATCCTGGGTGTTTCTATGAGAAGGGCTAGATAAACCTTGTTTCATGATGCAACATTGAGAATAACATTGGAGTCACTAAGGTTAGAGACAGTCTTTTTCCTCTAGAGTTTTGTTGCTGTATAATGGGAGGCAAACTGAGCCTCTGATGAGATCCTTGGGGACATAGGCATTTCACAGTCAGAACATGTTCATCCCACCTTTGCAGATAATATGTCACTGATTGTTACAGAGTGTGAGTAGTTATGGCAAAGATAATGGAAATGGGGCAAAACTCCCATATACTATGTAAAATCTTGATCAAAGCTTACTCTTGAAATGCCCAATCATTCAATCTTGCAATGCCAAAGGCATTCATTGGGAAATACAGAAAGTCTCATTACAGAAAGTATCATAAGATCCTGCAATGCAATCCGATCCCCATCATCTCTACATTACTTGAGAATTCCCCCAAAGAGGTTGATTGACAAATAATAATTACTAAGAATGGTATAATAAATTCTTATTATTTGCTGTAGTTATGTTTTATAAGTCATTGCAAACATTGAACTAGCAAATACTGAACCATTGCTTTGGATAAATACAGGGTTAGGTTGCTGTGACCCTCTGGTTATAACAGTTTCATCAACCAATCAACGCATAACCTTGTTTCATGTATGTTTACTTATTTTTTTTTATTTTAATTGTTGTTCAAGTACAGTTTTCTGCATTTTATTGCCATCGCAGCCCACCCCCCGAGCCCTCCCCACCTCCCTCCTATTTCTGGCGCCCCCTTGTTTTTGTCCATGCATCTTTTATACTTGTTCCTATAAATGTTTCTTTATGAAGTCACTGTATCTAATATTTAATATTGTTAATTTATTAACATGGAATTCATGGACAACAAAGAGCATTATAACTCACGCCTCAGCAAAGCTTATCTTGCACAAGTACTTTCTCTGTAGAGTACAACAGAGCCTTCTTGTACCTGGGAACACTAAAAAACACCTCAGCACTTGTTCAAGGGGTATTTTAAACAGCAAAACCATCAACAAAAAACATCAACATGTGGGAAACATAGTACAAACAAGATCATGAAAAGCACACTGTTTTACAGTATGAAAGCTGAAATAAGAAGGCACAGTGTTGCCCTGTATGGTCTCAGCTGGGAAAGTGTGCACCATGCATCTCCAATGTTCTGCTGCTCTGTACACACTGATGATAAGACACAGTGAGTGTTGACTTTCAGGTTACAGATAAATTTTAGAAATTAGGCAAATTTGCAAATCCAGAATCCACAAATAATGAAGTTTGACTATATTACTACAAACACATAGCCTTAGATATTATTGGAAGAAAGAAAAAAGAGGCCCATTTAAGGCCTGCCAGAACATGAATAAGGAAAGTATAGATGTTATCCAGAGTGGTGAAATTCATGCTGTCTAATAAAAAGTAGCTGCATTCATTTATCACTCTTTATTAAGCAACCTTTTTGATGCAAGCATTGCACTGGTAGTATTAAAAACATTGTGATAATAAAAGTTGTGTTTAAAACAGAATAAAATAAAAAGTATCAGTTGATAACTTTTATTTTCTCTTATATGTAGTCTGTCAGTTTATAAACACTTATGGAATACTAATTATGTGCAAAGTCATATGTTAAGTATGTTACCAAATAAAAAGACTATAATAAATTTGCTTTCTGTCCCCAAGGAACCCTTGATGCAGTGGGAGTGACAAGGTTAAGAAACATTCTATTAGCCATGGGGTGCTGTTACTGGTCATAGTTAAATTAACACTCATGCAGTATAAACCTATAGGCTTTCCAAGAAGCAATTATTCTGTTCAGCTTCAAGATTGCATCATAAAGAATACAGTAGTTATTTAGACATTGAAGGGACTAATATAGCTGAGAAAAATGGAGCTACTGTACCAAACTTAAGTTAACTCTATAAAGTAATCCTATAAATGCTGATTCTTGAAATCAGCATTTACTATATACTGAACTCTTCTGAGTGCTTTACACATGTCATTTAATATTTAAAGTGACCTTAAGAAGTACATACAGTAATTCATAAATAACATGATAGGCTCTGGAAGGACTGAAAGTTTAAGTAGGAAACTGAGCCACAACTAAGCCCATGTCTGTCTGATTACAACTCATAGTGTGACATTCTCTCTGCATAATCTTTCAGGGAGCTTAGATAGGAAGCATGACTGCAGCTTTGCAAAAGATTCATTTCTGAAAGACCTATTAAGCCACCATCCAAAGATTTATTGACAGGAGTAGGCATAAATTAATTGTGATTACTACAGTTGAGAGAGATTTCATTTTGGAAAAATGATCTAACATAGCAGATTAAAAATGTAAATCTCCTTCTCCTTTAGTGTTTTTCACAATTTTTTCTTGGAATATCAGTTACTACCTAAGACATCTGTGGGGATTCATGTCAAGAAGAGTTACACTTACGAG